GTCTGCCTCACTGATGTCTGACTCTGAAGGCAGCTGATAACTGTCAGATGGCGCTGGCCCCCTCTCTGCCTCCAATACAAAGCCCTCATCAGAGCCTTCTCCAGACTCTAGGACTGGCCAATGTTCCTCCCCAACCTCCTCACTGTCCGAATCTGCTGCCAGCTCTGCAGGCCACTGGCGGACCACTACAGCTCAGTAGCTATTTCCCAAATTTCACCAAGTCAGTGAAGGATCCAGGGTGTTGTGCAAAGCAGCTGACCCAGCAAGCATTAGATAAGCAATTCTCAATTTTAGCAGCTTTCAGAGAGAAGCATTTCAACTCCCAGAATTCCCCCGCAAGCATGCCCAACACCCTTGAAAGGGTTGGCGACTCACTGTGGTGCAGGTAAGTCCTTGACTTGCAACCATTCGTTTAGGGAGCATTCAAAGTTATGGCACTGAAAACAGTGACCTATGACCGTTTTCACACTTGTGACCATTGCAGCATTCCCTGTGGTCACGTCATCAAAATTCAGATGCTTGGCAACTGGCTCATGTTTATGACGTTTGAAGTGTCCCAGGTCATGTGATCATCTTTTGTGACCTTCTGACATGCAAAGGCAATGGGAAGTCAGGTTCACTTAACAACTCTATAGTGATTCACGCAACTACTGTGGCAAGAAAAGTCGTAAAATGGGGCGAAACTCATTTAAAAACTGTCTCATTTAACAACGGAAATTTTGGGCTCAATTGTGGTCATACATTGAGGCTAATAGCTGTACATTTGTTGCTTGAATCCATCCTGGGAGCTTCCCGCAACTTACATCCTTTCTACAGTGGACTTATTTTCCTGATCACCACAAGCATCCACAGGGAAGTTAAAAAGTAATACTAAAATCTGCCATGGTCATAGCCCTGACTACCTTTTTTTTAAACCCGTGTATAAGGGACAGGGATTCAGTTCCGCAGTCACAACTACTTTTAACTTTTTTTTAATACACCCACGCACACAAACACAGCCTCAATAATCTTGTTGCGAATATTCCTTTTCATGCCTTGCTTTGCTCTGAACTTACACCAGGAACCAAGGCAAAGACTGGCTTTCTCTGAATTGCAGGATCGGCCCTGCCAGTAGGCAAAGGAAGGCAGCCATGGCAGGAAGCCAATCATCAGAACCATAAAAAAAGCAAAAGCTAGAATATTTTGGACATGTTACTGTATTTATAAGAGTATAAGACGCACCAGAGTATAAGATGCACCAAGATTTTGAAGAGGTAAATATTTTATAAAAACGTTTCTGCACTGTGCAGACCTCCCAAACTCTCTGCACACCTCATTTTTTTGTGAAAAATGGGGCATGCAGAAAGTTTGAGAACCCTGCAAAGTGCTCCTGGAGGGAGGGTGCAAAAATGAGCAAAAAACGGCCCGCTTTTTGCAAATTTTTTTGCCAAAAAAAGGGCATGCATAGCCTTTAGGTGGCTTCTAGAGTGCTCCTGGGGGCTGGAGGGGGGGGGACAAAAATGAGCAAAAAATGAACCCGTTTTTCACTCGTTTTTGCCCTCCCCAGCCCCCAGGGGCACTTTGCAGGCCTCCCAAACCCTCTGCACGTCCATTTTTGTGAAGGGGCCGGGGTTTTGGGAGGCCAAAAATGCTGTATTCAGTGTATAAGACACACCCAGATTTTCACCCTGTTTGGGGGGAAAGGTGCGTCTTATACTCCGAAAAATACAGTATGTGACACCCAGAAGAATACGGCATACTTCACTTCATCCTCCAGGGAAAGACTGAAGGCAAAAGAGGTCCAGGCAGAAGAAGAACATCAGGGCTTCAAAATCTAAGGATGTGGTTTGGACAAATCTCAGCAGCACTTTTTCATGCGGCTGTTGACAAAAATAGGATCACCAACATGACCAGCAACATCCGATGACGGACATGGCAGAAGAAGAAGAAAAAGAATCATCAGACATTTTCTGACAGCTCTCCTAAAGGACAAAATCAGATACCCAGCTTGGCTTCTGAATTAGCCTGCTTGCTTGAATGCGGCCCAGGGGATTTTCCCATCACCAGCACAGGTGGTCCTCGACTTACGACCATAATTGAGCCCAAAGTTTCTGTTCCTCAGTGAGACATTTGTTAAGTGAGATTTGCCGCATTCTACGACTTTTCTTGCTGCAGTTGTTAAGTGCATCACTGCAGTTGTCAAGTTAGTCACACAGTTGTTAATTGAATCAGGCTTCCCCATTGACTTTGCTTGTCAGAAGGTCGCAAAAGGGGATCACGTGACCCCAGGACGCCGCAACCGTCATAAATATGAATCAATTGCCGGGTGTCTGAATTGTGATCACATGACCACGGGGCTGCTGCAACGGTTTGTAATTGTGAAACGCGGTCGTAAGTCACTTTTTTCAGTGCCATTGTAACTTCGGACGGCCACTAAATGAACTTTTGCTAGTGAAAGAGTAGCTGTATTGAAGTAAGATATAGTTCCCAGGCCAGAAGTGGCCTGGACATGGAAAGAGCAAGAAATTCCCTCTTATTATTTGTTTCTGGAAGCGAAGTCAGTGGTGGGTTCCGGATCCCGTCGCAACCAGTACACTGTGACAGGGCTGGGCGTCCACCTCGGGCATGAATGCTGCGCACGCAAGTGCACCCACCACCCTGCGACGCTCCAGATGCTTGGCGGAGGTCACGCAGGCACTGTACACGGGTGCGCAAATGGCCCGGTTGGCTTAAAAACAGGTAAGGAACGCAGGCAGGTCCATCAAAACAGCGTTCCGCTACAGTGGCCACCGGTACGCCCATACCAGGGCATACCGTCTGGAACCCACCACTGAGCGAAGTGTCTTGGTCCAGCTGCCCCCAAATTCTCTTACCCAGCAAGCTCGCATTTTCATCCTCTTCCGCGATGGCCTCCATGGGGAGTTGGATCTTTACCGAATCAGAGAGAGAACTTTGTCCGTCTTAGCAGAAGCGACTCTCTCTTTCTCCACTACCTGATGCCTAGGAGGAAAAAAAATAAGAATACCATGAAGAGGCATGTATCAATTTCTTCCCAGACCTGGTAGGAGGAATCAAGAGCCTCACCATGATCACATGGCAGGAACCGGAAGCAAATTTCTCTCCTTAATCTTTTTCAGATCATTTTCCGCCCCCCAATTTCTGCTTTTACAGGTAGTCCTCGACATACGACCACAACTGAGCCCAGAATTTAGGTTTGCTAAGTTAGAAATTTGTTTTGAGTTTTGTCCATGTTTTGTGACTTTTCTTGCCACATTTGTGAAACGAATCTCTCTACCGTTGTTAAATTAGTAACACGGCTGTTAAGCGAAATCTGGCTTCCCCATTGAATTTGCTTGTCAGGAAGTCGCAAAAGGCGACCACATGACCCCGGGACACTACAGCCGTCATAAATATGAACCAGTTGTCAAGCATTCAAATGTAAATCACGTGACCACTGGGGATGTTGCAAGGGTCACAAATGTGAAATGTGGTCAGAAATCACTATTTTTGGTGCTGTTGTGATTTTGAACAGTCATTAAATGAACTGCTGTAAGTTGAGGACTAGCTGAATTTCTAGTGCTTCTGCTGTTCCATTCCAAAATCAAATTTGAAGGCATTTAATCCTTCCTTAAGAAAGAAGTAATGCCTAAGATGCACTAGTGCTATTACAGTATTTTTCGGAATATAAGACGCACCCTTTTCCCTCAAAAAAGAGGGTGAAAATCTGGGTGTGTCTTATACACTGAATACAGCATTTTTGGCCTCCCGAAACCCCACCCCTTTGCAAAAATGGACATGCAGAGGGTTTGGGAGGCTTGCAAAGTGCTCCTGAGGGCTGGGGGGGGGCAAAAAAGATGGGGGGGACGGGCCAGTTTTGCCCAGCCCCCAGGAGCATTCTACAAGCTTCCCAAAGCCTCTGCATGCCCCTTTTCCCCCAAAAAACCTGACCCGTTTAAACCAGGGTTTAAACAATATATGTGTTGCAATCATGGCAATACTTTAAACCAGTGTTTCTCGACCTTGGCGACTTTTAAGATGTGTGGACTTTAACTCCTGGCGGGGGAATTCTGGGAGTTGAAGTCCACACATCTTAAACTCACCAAGGTCGAGAAACACTGGTTTAAAGTATTGCCATGATTGCAACATAGAAGACCTTTGGCTGACAGGCAACCCTTATATGTAAACATTAACTTAAGTTAATGAGCTGCCCTTCCAACCGTACAGTGTTGCCTTTTCCTACATTTCCCAGTTAGGAATTGGCCCCTGCAGGAATTCTCTATTGCTGTGGCATTGAGAGGGGGAGGGGGTCAAAACGGCAGGAGCAGCATTGAGACACAAGCCCTGCCTCCTTTTCAACGAGCATTGCCATTGGATGCAGAATAAAAAAGGGGCAGGGCTCAGATGCTATGCTCGCTATCTTGCATATTTGATGCACGCTTTCCCCTTCCTATACAGGGAGTCCTCGGCTTACGTCCACAATTGAGCCCAAATTTTATTCTGCTAAGCGAGACATTTGTTAAGTGAACTTTGCCCGGTTTTACGATCTTTCTTGCCACCGTTGTTAAGTGAATCCCTGCAGCTGCTAAGTTAATAACAGAGTTGTTAAGCGAATCTGTCTTCCCCGTTGACTTTGGTTGTCAGAAGATCGCAAAAGGGGATCATGTGACCCCGGGACACAACAACTGTCATCAATATGAGTCAGTCACCAAGCATCAGACATTAATCAAATGACATCTATTTAGCCATCCATTAATTGGAGTTTGCTATCCATCTTTGCTATCTATCTATTAAATGCAATTATTTCTATTTAAATAGTACTGCATATTTTTAATATAGAAAAGACAACATATTCATTATCATAATAGGCTGCTGTTAGCATCTTTATTTAGTTTCAGTGCCCTGGGGACACATGTTCACCATTTGCTATCATTACATTAAATGCTATCCATTAATCCATTAATTGCTACCCATTAATCCATTAATTGTTACCCATTAATCCATTAATTGGGATTTTGCTATCCATTTATTGCCATTTAATAATTATCCAATTATTTCCATTTAAATGGTACCATATATTTCTAATGTATAAAAGGCAACATATTCATTTTCATAATAGTCTGCTGCTAGTATCTTTATATAGTAATGCATACAGACAGGCAGATAGAATAAAATAGAATTCTTTATTGGCCAAGTGTGATTGGACACACAAGGAATTTGTCTTTGGTGCAGATGCTCTCAGTGTACATAAAAAGACAAGATACATTTATCAAGAATCATAAGGTACAACAATTAATGATAGTCATAAGTTACGAATAAGCAATCAGGAAACAATCAATTCAATATAAATAGAATAGAATATAATTCTTTATTGGCCAAGTGTGATTGGACACACAAGGAATTTGTCTTTGGTGCAGAATGCTCTCAGTGTACATAAAAAGACAAGATACATTT